ACAAATGAAAATCATTTTCGGGCATTGGACTCTATGCATACTTTGTTGGTTGACTTAACAGTCAGAAAAATGAATAAACAAACAAAAATATCGGATTTTTTTCAATAAAAATGTTTTTTTAAGGTAAGTTTACAATCTTATGTTCTGTATTTATATCCATTGTTTTTAATGCTTAACCGTAATAAACACTTTGCAAATTAATTTTTTCGATAATATATAAATATATTTATAGTTAATGAATATATAACATTACATTTCAAAAAATCTTATTGCGTCCCAGAATTATGTGGGCCCTCGATATAACAATATATCCCTCTACAACAATATTCTTATTTGGTCCGCAAAATATTGTTGTAGCGAGGTTTTAGTATGAAATCTCTATAAATACATATTAGAGAGACATTATAATAATATTATATTTATGTAAAAATCGTTTTATCTGAATAAACGGCTCAGATTTATCTGAGTATGTCAGAAAGAGTATGTCACATTTAAAGTATGTCACAAAGAAAAAATTTCACGTTCACGATTTTTTCTCGCCTTTTTAGGGTGTAAAGAAGAAGAAAATTCATGTAGAAATAGTGTGCCTCCCAAAAAATTTTTTATTTTTTTTGGCCGCCTAACTGGCGTTTATTTGTAGAATTGCTCATATGTTCCCCATTTAAAATGTCAATTTACCCTAAAATAACTGCATCATCATACAGCAAAAGTTTTTTAAAACGTTTCAGCACGTAAATACACAACTGTTATGCTTACTCAACTTATCAAAACTGTTGAAAACGCATTTAAATATTTTAAACCTTCATAGAATATTTAGGTAATCAAAAACAATTTTCTGGTAGGAAATTTGCCACCATTCCTCTTTGGAAGCGGAATCCATCCACAATGAAACTGTAGTATAGTTCGTCTATATAAAGATCTCCCCACGCTGCAAAGTCTGTTTTGGCATGGCTGCAAAGGCCATTTGCAACTATGGAAACAAGAAATAGCGCATTTTACAGAGGGGAGCTTCACTCTCCTCTGATAGATTTTTTCTCGCCAACCCAAGTCAAAACCTGTCTTAAATATTGACCCAACTCGCCTACTAGAAATCGTAAACCTCATAATTATAGTCACTGCAACGAATAGCGAGTCATAGACGAATGGCGAGGGAACCCTTTTCATAGACAGATTATTAATGACTTAGATCTATGGTTGGTTCTAATGCCACTCGCCACACGAGCAAATCTGTTTGGTGAAACTGAGCAAATTTAAGGCAGAGTGTGCGATTCTTGTTTTTCAGTGGCGGCATCTATGGCTAAGAATTCGACTTCTGCCTCACCGGACCCATTCGGCGGACCATTATAGGGCGGACCCACTCATACATCCATTCATTCATCCACAGATCATAATTTTGACCTGAATCAGAGAACGATCGATCTCCAATTCAGAACCCCCAGAGGTTTTGATTTGTTATGGGAACATGGAGGACTTCGCGACTCGGCAGAATTTTAACGTGCATCAGTCACCAACTACACGGGGAGTCTTCGGCCGGCGGGGTTCGAGCTCTCGGACATGGGCCCAGCTCACTACCGACCAGACTATCCCGGCCTATAGATCTCTTACGCCCTTTAGATTGTAGACCAAAATTCACCCACTTTTCATTGTGCAGTACTTAATGCAACTCAACTGGTGGTTTTCAAGGGATAGATTTTCTACAACCTGTGCAATTTTTGTTAAATATTTTGAGAGGGGACTTTTCCTCATAAGAAGAACAGTGTTCCACAACTAATGTTATCACAGCGTAATGTATGCACACATAAATAAAATTATAACTTTTAAAAACCAACAATTCATCATTAATTGTAATCAAACATTCTACCTGAGTTTACTGCCTTTGTAGCTCAAGTATAGATCTATGACTGCTGCTGGAATGTAATGTCTGTAAAGTGCTATTATTTTGTACATTAATTTGCTTTTAACCATTATAAAAGACATTTCTTGGAAGGAATTTGGAAGAGGATGGACTACCGTTAGATCGTACATAATACTCAAGTACTGTCCAAATTTCAACTTCAACTTATCACCAAGTGTATTGTGAACTACAAACATCGAAGGACGCCTGAAAAAAAAGAAACAATTCAAAATAAAATAGATGTTAGAGTTCAATAAACTATAAATTATATGCAAGTATTCTGAACTATAAGTTCTATGCAATTATTCTAAACAATAAACTATGGGCTCTAAACTATATTCTTAAATTCTATGCAAAACTGTGTAAAAAATCGAGGTAACTCATAAGCGCCTGTGCTGCCCAGATTTTATGTATGTGCACGTATGCGAGATTAAGTAAGAGTACGAAATCTCTTTATTATTGTAGGAAATCGCTTGAATATATGTATTTGCATCTTTCTTCCTCTGCTCGCTTAAGAGTATACTGTGAAACGGGATAATAATCTTAGCTCATTTCATATAGATTAAGAAACGATACATTTATATAAGAGTACGTAGTGGGTAGAGTTAAATTTTTTCCAAAAGGACAGGTGTTCATCACTAGAAGTTACACCCCCCCCCCCCATTTTTTTACAGTCAGAGGTTTGAGCGTCAAAGCTAATCCATCATCTCTCTTTCCATAGGGGTTGATAGTCATGATGCGTTTATCTATTGTTGGCGTCATTTCCTCATATTCTGGAGTAATTTTAAAATATTTTTAAGCATTTTTGTACACACCATTTTATAAAACATAAAATAGATAAAATAAGGAACTTTTTGACAGAATTTTAGTGTAACTATTAAAAATACATTCATTATTTACAAAATGTATTGATTTTAGAAAACATAAAGTAGATTCAATTCGGAATTTTCTAAGGTAGATTTTTTTTCAGTGTTATTATTCTTTAAAATTTATTTATTGATTATTTATTTCAATCAAAAAACCCATATACTAGACTTACAGAAATTAAAGAAATTAGTCAGTGAAAGAGAAATTAGTCTAAAGAAATCAATAGATTAACATTTGGATTTTATTGTTCAAATAGTTGAATAATAAAATCCAAGTTGAGCTGAATGTATGATGTTAATAAAAAAAAAGAAAACAATCAATACATCAGTACAGAACAATGCGATGAAATCAAGCACCAAAACTAAAAGGCATGTACCTACACAATTAACATAGCTGAAATAAGGTGAAATATTTCTTATTTATTATTATTTGTTGCCTTTTCTGGTGGCTTTACGTTACTAAATTACGCAAAACAAGTTTCTTGAAGTTCATCCCATCAGAATAGAGATTAATTGCATTCAGCATTACTTGGTATGAGGCTCATGATCGTTGTCAATTCATGATAGTCAAAGTTTATCGTTACAAATTAATTTCTTTCGGTTAGTATCTCTTTTATTTCCCTATATCCGTAATTATAACTGCTCAGTATTGGTGCAGCTTTAATAACTATCAAATATATCAATTTATTTCTTTTTACATGAGTATATTTGGAACCTTATACATGACCCTTCAACATTTAAGTTTTGTGCATTTTCAGTGGTAGCATCATTACATTTATTATTTAAACTATTATATTAAAAAATTTTACTAACTGGGTATACAACAATATTGAGATTCAAAAATCAAAAATATTAATTTCGGAAACTTACAGTGTATCTTTACTCACGTAATGTTTATGTGATGATGTGAGAACAGATTTGATATTTTATAAATTTTCAATATTGAGATTTGTATTTAAATTTGTACATAATTCTGCCATTCATTATTATTATTATTATTATTATTTTGTTTTTTGAATTTTATAAATTCTGAAAGGTTATGACCCCTAAATTTTAATTTAATCCTTTTAGGGTCACTTCTTTCTAGTAACATTACGCTAAAATATATTTGGGACTCATAAAAACAAATTCATTTAGTTTATAATCTTCAATTAATTTGATTTTTTAAGATCTTTCTTTGAGGGGAAATGTGGGTGGGATTTTCAATATGTTACCTGCTGTAAAGACGATAAATTTAAAGCTCCAAGCTTATAATAAACCGAAATATAAAATACTATGTTTATAACTATAAGTAAACTTCATGGAAACGATTAAATAAACGAGCCCATAACACACAAGAGAAAATAGCTCTCCAATGTTAGCCTCGCTTCCTGACCCCACGCAACTCCTTACTATTACCTGCATCTATTATGCATATAAAACCCTTCATTGTTTCTTTTATTTTTTTAAATTTATTTCATTAAAGTTATCAGTAGATCACCGCACAAATCATAAATGAGAAAAAAAAAAAAACTTTCCTTCGACGATTAGAAATTAACAAAGTTGGAGAGAAGCAAAATTTCCCACTGTTTTATAAAAAGTTAAGAAAAATATTATCACATCATAAAGAAAGTGTAAGGATTGCTATATTTTGAGAATTGGTTCTAATTTAATTTGACTAGATTTACAAGTAAAGTTAGTTTGCATTAGTTTGTATCACTAAATATGAAATCATTGCCCCGTAGAAAGGGAAAACTAATCGAGTCCTCCTTCTCACCTCAAAGAGAGCAATTTTCGCTCACGATTGGGAGCACCTGAATTGGTACAACTTCTTTTCCTCAAATGGTTCGATGGGAAGTTTAGTTGTGTTCTTAAAAAAACATATTTAACACTAGAAAGACGGAAAATTAGCATATATCTATATTGCCGAAAAAAGTCAAAATGACTAGATTGTGAATGCGTCAATAAATTTCTTAAAATTAATTTTTAACATGTTTTATATTATTTACTGTTATGTAACAAGTTATTAGTAAATATTAACAATAAAAAAATTATATGTTGAGCAAAAAGTCACAAAATTCTAAGAAATTGGGTCATTGTAATTGTGTCATCATTGTTTTTCTAATTGAAATTAAAAGCAGTCAAAATGACTTCCTTAGGCAATCTAGTGTTAAGAAAACTACTATGTTTAAAAAAAAATCTTAAGTAACAAACACATTTACACTTTACAGTTGTTATAATTTTAATTATAAAATTTTAATAAAATCCAATTGCAGACCTGCCCGTTGCCACACACCAAGCGACAAGAACATGACAATTTGCACATACATCTATTGGAACGACGTCAAATATGGAGTCACTATCACCACGAATGACTTTGACGAAACCTTTTCCAACCTAAAATAAATAAATAAATAAATAAATAAAAATAAATAAAATTTAAAAAAGAAATAATCCAAGTTGTACTATTAATAGAGGGAAAGAAAAGTTGTAGTCATCGCCCTCTTAAGCAAAACAATTCGTAAAAACATCAAATTAGGCAATTTTATGATTCGGTTCTCGTTTACGTTAGCTTATTACTTTATAGAAATAAATGTTAAAATTGCAAAATGTTAAATAAATACTGAAAAAATAAGTGCCACTGAAGGTAAACAATTACCTTCATTGAATCAAGAAGTTTCTATGAAATGGCCGGCAGCGAATTTATTGAAGTGAAACTTCTAATGCGACTTCCAACAAGGTTGCGTTAAACGTTTAACGCTACCATGGAGGGGGTATGAAAGCACTGTTTTGTAAGCGGCCTGTGATCCCTGCAGGGGATTTTAATGCGAATTTCTCGTTACCTGAAGCTGAAACATTATTAACCTTCCTTAAAGACAAATTTGGATTGGAAATGATAAATGGTAGGAATGATCCAACAACCAAAGGGGGAACTACCATTGATGCAGTTTTTGCAAGAAATATTGAAAAAATAGAACTCAAACATTTCGTATCTCTCTTTAGTTATCATAATCCCATTGTAAATGTTATAGATTTGGATATTTCTCCACTCGAAAATGATAATTAAAAGATGCGATCAATTGTGAATTGTAAGCATTGCTAATAAAGTTTGTCTTAAAGAAACAATATGATTTTACTAAAAATCAATTTCTACCCCTTCCTATTTTCATTTCCACATTACGAAGTTTCACTTCTTCCGCGCGGAGGGACTCCACGCACTATTTTTTTTCTATTACATTTTCATCTTAATATAAGTCAGAAAAATGTTTAAAACATAATTTGTGAGTATGAACATTAGAGCATTTTTAATCATTCGGGATTTTTATTATGTGTACAGCATCTAAACATATCCAAATTGAAGCAAACAGTCTCAATGTAATAAAACAAATCGTCTTTATACTATATTATAGTTTTAATTACTTTGTAAATCAAAGCCGTTTTATAAATTATTTCTAAACAACCCAATAAAACCTATTTCTAATAAAAATGATAATAAACTTACCCCTACTGACAAATCAGTTACGCCGGTTCCTTCGTCTATATAACCCTGAAATTTAAATGCAGGATTTTGTAGGTGAATTTTTATAAACAACTTTAAATATTATAGGAAATTAATTAATATACTTTTTTTCACAATTTATTATATTATTATTAAGTTGAAAATAGTTTTTAATTATTAAAAAAATTGACTTCAGTTTTTTTGTATAGATGGGTAAACACGTGTAAAAATAGCAACATATCTTACGTAATCGGAACTAAAACGAAAGATTCTCAATTCCATCCTCAACGTTTTGTGTATGAAGTAAAATAAAAATATCGTAGTTATTCTCGATATCTTTTTTTCGTCAATGAAATAAGAGCTAGCAGTTTTATGAGAAATAACCGTTCAATTGAAGTTTTCCCAGATATTACCGGTCAAATGCATATTTTTTAGACTGTGATCTCATCACAACGCTTTGCTTACATTAGCACTATAAAAGCAAAATAAATTCAAATTCTAACAATTACATGATACGATATGATTGGTTGGTGGTAGTGAACACATGAGGGATAAATTATGACTTTATGCATCTTAATTATTAATTTCAAGTAAATAACTAGCTTACTTTAATTGAGCAAATGTAAAGTTAAAATAACAATTAATTAAGTGGAAAACTGGTCATTATATCATAAGTTATTCAAACACTTAGTTTTTTATTTTTTAAAAATATAAATTGTATTTATTTTTCCATATGGTTTGAACAATTTGAAATGAAAATATCTCAGAAAAAGTTAGTTTTAAGACTAGTTTGTAAACCAATAGTTAAGATTTGTAATTAATAAATACTTACTGGTCGTACACCTTTATAAGCAGTAAATACTATAGATGGTCTTACAATTGCAACAGGTAAGTCGGAGGCTTTTTCAAGCAAAAGATTTTCCGTCAAACATTTACTGAAGGTATATGAGTTAGGCCACTTTAGATTAAATTTTGATTCTAATGAAGATACAAGCTCATCAAATGATTCATCAGTACCATTCCTAAAAATATTGATAAAAAGGTTTTAATCGAAGCCTCCAACGAAGTCAGTTAAATAGTTATGCGAATATTTTACTAAAGTTATTGTTTTCAAAAAGCAATATTAGCAATTTACTATAGTCATGTACAAAAGATTTAAAGGGATACAGCAATAAATTTGGTACAACTGTTTTATTTTATTTTATAACCGTCGTTGAACAGCCGACCCAATTTTGGGTTTACGATTTCTCATGTTCAACTCCGTAGCATTGTTATCTTGAACTCAATCCAGAAGACAAGAAAATTTCTGTATCAGTGCCCCCAGAGGTAAGATTTGTTATGAGAACATGGAGGGCTTTGTGACCCAACAGATTTACCGTGCATCAGGTACCATTTGCTACCAGGGGAGTCTTTGGCAGGTGGGGATCGAACCCACGAGCTATTGGACATGAACCCAGTGCCCTACCAACCAGACTATCCCGGCCCTGGTACTACTGTTGTGTAAATTCAGTTTTACAAAAATAACTAAGAACTTGGATACGTTAAAAAAAAAGATATATTTCACTTTTGGTCAGCAATAAAAAACACCGGAACAAAGTGATGAGTAAATTAGTTAACGAAATATAGAAGATGGTTAGAATTAATGTAACACTGTTTAGACTTACATAGCGTCTGTTCCGGTTAGCGGGTTTCGGTGGGAATTTGTTATTTATACGTATTAGGAAAACACCTCTGTATCTCGCAAAATCGCCACCATTCCTCGCATTAGTTTAATTTTTTGTGCACAGATTAAAATAGTCACCAATGGTAACGCATGACAAGCAAAAATGTTTTGTGCACTCAGGTAGCACTTAGGGGAGAATTATTATTTAGACATTTTCGCAACATCAAAATCTTTTATTGCAGTTTACTTACTCCATTTCCTCAATAAATCTTTCAGCACTAAAAGGCAATGTGTAGACTTTTTCTTCAATTGTTTTTGGATATCTGTGACAATTAGCATAAGCAGTTGATGTGTAAACTAAAACCTGAAAAAATATCTATGGTAGTTTCGGGTCATAGGCGTAGCGTGAGGTGGGTACACCTTTCGTATTTAGAAAACTCTTAATTTACTTTCAGTTTTGTTTAGATGTGCATATCTTATGTGCACATATTTTATATGCACATTTATTTGTATATGTATTTATTTTATACATGCTTATTTGTATGTATATTTATTTGAATATTTATATACAAACGTAGGTATAAAACTCAAAATAGACGAACAGTTTTCTAAAAACAAAATGCGTACCCCTCCCTCTCGCTACACACATGTTACAGGTACAGATATATTATTACAAAGTCATTTATTCAATAGGTAGATCGGACTACCTATTGCATAGGTAAAGTGACTTATGGATTTTTAAAATATCTAGATTTTCCTATCAGCTAATGAAAATTAAATTTGTTACTTCTATTTCATTAGTAATAAATTTCATTTGGTAACAGGTAGAAACTACAGAGGGCTTTAACAATCAGTGGGAAATTTAAACTCAAAATTTTGTTAAAATTTTATAAGTGGCAACATTTTTGTACAACATGGACAAGAAAATACTACTTTTAACGCTACCTTTGGAGAAAAATACGGAATTAGAATTTCGAAATCAAAAAACAAACGAGATATTAGAATTAGCATTAATGTTCACTAGTTCGTACTAAATCGATGGTGCCTCGCAACTTTGAGTTTGATTACTACAATTAAAAATTACTCTGAAGTCTTCCGTTAGGCGGTACTGTAAGGAATTTCCTCTTGTAGCTCATAGCTATTTCACAACATGTAGGTACCATGTTTATGCATGTAACTCCAACCATTCAAAAATTAACATCAGACTTTAGCAAGCACCCAAGGGTAAGCCAATATATATATATATATATATATATATATATTTGTAATTAATAAATACTTACTGGTCGTACACCTTTATAAGCAGTAAATACTATAGATGGTCTTACAATTGCAACAGGTAAGTCGGAGGCTTTTTCAAGCAAAAGATTTTCCGTCAAACATTTACTGAAGGTATATGAGTTAGGCCACTTTAGATTAAATTTTGATTCTAATGAAGATACAAGCTCATCAAATGATTCATCAGTACCATTCCTAAAAATATTGATAAAAAGGTTTTAATCGAAGCCTCCAACGAAGTCAGTTAAATAGTTATGCGAATATTTTACTAAAGTTATTGTTTTCAAAAAGCAATATTAGCAATTTACTATAGTCATGTACAAAAGATTTAAAGGGATACAGCAATAAATTTGGTACAACTGTTTTATTTTATTTTATAACCGTCGTTGAACAGCCGACCCAATTTTGGGTTTACGATTTCTCATGTTCAACTCCGTAGCATTGTTATCTTGAACTCAATCCAGAAGACAAGAAAATTTCTGTATCAGTGCCCCCAGAGGTAAGATTTGTTATGAGAACATGGAGGGCTTTGTGACCCAACAGATTTACCGTGCATCAGGTACCATTTGCTACCAGGGGAGTCTTTGGCAGGTGGGGATCGAACCCACGAGCTATTGGACATGAACCCAGTGCCCTACCAACCAGACTATCCCGGCCCTGGTACTACTGTTGTGTAAATTCAGTTTTACAAAAATAACTAAGAACTTGGATACGTTAAAAAAAAAGATATATTTCACTTTTGGTCAGCAATAAAAAACACCGGAACAAAGTGATGAGTAAATTAGTTAACGAAATATAGAAGATGGTTAGAATTAATGTAACACTGTTTAGACTTACATAGCGTCTGTTCCGGTTAGCGGGTTTCGGTGGGAATTTGTTATTTATACGTATTAGGAAAACACCTCTGTATCTCGCAAAATCGCCACCATTCCTCGCATTAGTTTAATTTTTTGTGCACAGATTAAAATAGTCACCAATGGTAACGCATGACAAGCAAAAATGTTTTGTGCACTCAGGTAGCACTTAGGGGAGAATTATTATTTAGACATTTTCGCAACATCAAAATCTTTTATTGCAGTTTACTTACTCCATTTCCTCAATAAATCTTTCAGCACTAAAAGGCAATGTGTAGACTTTTTCTTCAATTGTTTTTGGATATCTGTGACAATTAGCATAAGCAGTTGATGTGTAAACTAAAACCTGAAAAAATATCTATGGTAGTTTCGGGTCATAGGCGTAGCGTGAGGTGGGTACACCTTTCGTATTTAGAAAACTCTTAATTTACTTTCAGTTTTGTTTAGATGTGCATATCTTATGTGCACATATTTTATATGCACATTTATTTGTATATGTATTTATTTTATACATGCTTATTTGTATGTATATTTATTTGAATATTTATATACAAACGTAGGTATAAAACTCAAAATAGACGAACAGTTTTCTAAAAACAAAATGCGTACCCCTCCCTCTCGCTACACACATGTTACAGGTACAGATATATTATTACAAAGTCATTTATTCAATAGGTAGATCGGACTACCTATTGCATAGGTAAAGTGACTTATGGATTTTTAAAATATCTAGATTTTCCTATCAGCTAATGAAAATTAAATTTGTTACTTCTATTTCATTAGTAATAAATTTCATTTGGTAACAGGTAGAAACTACAGAGGGCTTTAACAATCAGTGGGAAATTTAAACTCAAAATTTTGTTAAAATTTTATAAGTGGCAACATTTTTGTACAACATGGACAAGAAAATACTACTTTTAACGCTACCTTTGGAGAAAAATACGGAATTAGAATTTCGAAATCAAAAAACAAACGAGATATTAGAATTAGCATTAATGTTCANATGGCGTGTGTTATATATATATATATATATATATATAACGACAGATTCTGGAGTCATATTTCGGCACTTTTTTTTCTGTCTGACGGGAAGATATGAACCGAAACTCAACAATTCGTAACTTATCGCGGCATTACAAATTTATCAATAAATGTTATTTTTATTTTCATTTTTTAGTTTATTAAAATTATCAGAACACGATTATTTTTTAGCTAAATTATGGCTACAGCAAACGTGAAAAATATTGTGGTTCAAAACGCTTCAAATTTTTAACAGTGTAATAATGATACCTTTTTCATACAAAGTTATGATTACAAGAAGTCAAAGAAATTATATTTTGTTTGGGGCTCAAAAATTTTCAATTGGTTTTGATGGAGTAGGAGTGCTATTTTAAAAATAGCTTTTTTCAATTACTTCTACTTTTACTTGGGGTATTTCTAACAAATAATACTAACAATTCAAAAGCATAATTGATAAGAAAATAATTTAACATTTAAAATCTGTATAGGAATCATAACCCAATTCAAATAATAGTAATAATAATAGAGCACCAAATTATGGGCTGTACTGCATTATCAGCCATTGGGCTGTACTGTATTATCTGCCAACTTCCTGACAGGTAGATCAATTAGAAATTTTTTTTTTATAAGAGAGCTTTATGTGCAATATATCAGCCTCCTTTCTACTCTACTGCCAATAAAATATACTTCTTGATTCTGATGAGCTATGGTACGATTTATTAAAATGTTTGTTCTACGTTGCTTTTAAGTTTCACTTGACAAAAAATAAGTAATTTAAAATTATGAAACAAAAAGAAATACTTACGTCTAATTTTTTAAGCCTTTTACACAGGTCTATAACATAATCTGTACTCTTAGCATTTTGAAAACATATAGATCTGCAAAAACAAAAACAAAAAAACAATGATAATAAAATAATAATAATTTGAAAATATCATTCACAAATAATTCCAAACATCAATGCTCTAAAAACGAATAACTTTAACATTATGAAGCCTGAATAATGTAACATTTTCATTCATTTGAGGTTTTGATTTCAGAATCAATTATATTTTTCTAAGAAATTAGCTTTTCTTTTAGTTTTTTAAATAAAAGTTTTGGAAAAAAACAATTTGAAAGAAATTGTCAAGTTCCGTCAATTTTCTCAAAAGTGAAAGATCAGTGTATATATTTATTTAAAACTTATTTTCAAAGTCACAATTCTTAAATAAATTTAAAGTACTAGCATTACTGTTATAGATTGATGAATATATTGGCGAAAAAGGTTACAAGCTTATGAATCCAGGAATTTAACTTGAAATTAGTGTATCACTCATGATACCATGAGTTAAAAAAGTTGCATGAAAGGCTAAGGACAATATACTGACAATTCACACACTTGGTATGTTGTTGTTTCTAATGCCACTTGCCAATATCAACAAGCCTGCCTGATAAAACGAACTTAATGCAAGCGAATTTAAGTCAGAGGGTGCGTTTCTTGTTTTTCAGTGGCACCATCTATGGCCAAGAATACGACTTCACCACACGTACGTCACAGCTCATTTATAGGGCGGACCCATTCATACATCCATTCATCCACAGATCGTAATTTTGACCTGAACCAGAGAACGATCAATATCTAATTCAATACCCCCAGATGTATGATTTGTAATGGGAAAAGGTAGGATTTTGTGACAAGAAACGTTTTTTTACAAAACCGACTTTGAACATTCGACTCAATTTTGGGTTTACGACTACTTATGTTCAACTCCGTATCCTTGTAATTTTGAACCCGATCCAGAAGACAACCCTTACGAAAATTTAAGGAATATTTAAGGTTGATTTGAGGTATTTTTGAGGTATCAAGGTTGATTTGAGGTATATTTAAGATTGCTGATAAAAATTATACCTCGTAAAGGTTGTAATTAAGGTGCACGAGGTTGTTTTATATGTACTTCAGCTTATTTTGAGGATGTTTAAAATCAACTTTAAATTAACCAGGCTCATGAGGTGATTTTCAAGGTATACCAGGTAGATTTTCTGACACTTGCAAAAAAAGAGGTATTTTTGAGGTATAAAATATTTTACGTTATTTCAACTAAAGAGAGTGAGGTATTTATTGAGGTATATGAAGTCATTTTATTTATACCTAAGCTTATTTTGAAGTTGTTTTAAATTCATTTGAAATCAACCAGACTGATCAGGTGATTTTTAAGGTATACGAGGTTGTTTTTCTTACACTGGTAACAAAAGAGGTATTTTATGAGGTATAAAAAAATCAACCTTATTTCAACTAACGAGAGTGAGGTATTAAAACGAGGTATAAAAAAATATACCTTTTTTCTACTGAAGAGAGAGGTATTTACGAGGTATAAAAAATATACCTTATTTAAACTAAAGAGAGTGAAGTATTTATTGAGATGTATGAATTCATTTTATTTTTACCTAAGCTTGTTTTAAGGTTGTTTAGAGTACACGTCATATTAACTAGCTCACTTCCCAGAGTTCCATGCGAGCCGGCAAATGGCGTGTGTGTTGACAATCGAAAGTATTCGAAATTCTGTAAGTGTGCTTGACATTTATTAATTTAGTTTTATCACTTTTAATCAAATATGCTTCAATTTTCAAACTTAAATTTTATTATTTTTGTTTTAAAGACACGTCCTGATCTTAAATAATTTAAGTTGGCGGATATTCTTAGAGGCTATCGTTGTAGGCTTAACAATAAGAGAGAAAAATCGAAATATTTCTCGTCGCTATTTAGGGTAACGTTACTGGTGAATGGTTTACAGCAGGTTATGCACAGTATATTTTATCGTTTGTAATTTATTCAAATAGAATTATTCTTTTTATTTTGCTTAAATGTATATGTTTTAACGTAGCAATATGCAAGCTGATTAATTGAGTAAAATGCTCATAATTTCTCTTATAAATAAATCGAAAGTTGAAAGATTTTTTAAATAGCAATTTTGCTTTGAAATTCTACTATAGTGTATGATTATCGCTTGGATATCTGTTGCAAAGTTAAATATATATATATATATATATATATAAAATCCATAAAAGTAATTAGAATTCATATTCAAAGATTTATGAGCAATAGATTTTGTAAATTAAAGAAATTTCAATGATGAGTAACTTTCTCTTGACATAAATAACTGAAAATCTGGAAAATTATTATTTGAAATTGAGCCGTGTTTGAAAGATTTTACCTTTGACCCAGAAAAAGACACCAATGTTTCATGCTGTATTTCACAACGATAAATTAAGATGCTAAATGTAATATTTTTCACTTATTTTGACCTAAATTAAAACAAAATAATGAAAAAATGTGTTTCATAAAAATTCTGATTTAAAGAGTTAACAGTTAGAGGTTCAATTGAAGGGCTGTGTCTTTCTTTTTCTTTTTTTTTAAAAAAAAAAGAAAAGAAAAGAAAATTAATTTACAACCTAAAAATGTGTAGGAAAAATTTTGTATTAAAAATGGAAAATGCCTGACCTTTTTCGCAGACGTATCCGGCGATGGTGACTCCGAGTCCTTGTTGATCCTTGACTAGTTCGACTTCGAAAGTTTCCATCTCCGGCTGGTCATCTACTAGATCTTTCTCGAACACCCCCAAGCGACCATCGCTTGTTGAGTAAGCACCCTGAAAATGAAAACAAAATTTCTCATCAAGAATCAACAACTTCTNTTTTATTCTGCTCGGTATTATAAGTTATATAGGAGATATTATACTCAACTTATTTTAAAAGTATTATTTCAAATCATTCTCTTTTAGACATTTTCCTCACATAAAATTACTCACAACTTTAAAATAAATGCTCCTTATCAGCTTGTAATTTGTTCTATTCGATTGAGTGTAAAAAAAGAATAAAAATTGGTACATAACATTAAATTTTTAATTTATTAAACGACTGTTGATTCTTGATTACATTGATTAAAAATATTAAAATAACTATTTTTTAAGAAACTTTGATGCGATTGATAATAACGTAAGTCCTTTTCAGAATCAGCGTCAAAAATTTAAAAAAAGCTATTAGTTTCAAGAAGTCTGACAAAAAGTTTAAAAATATAGGTTTGGTATATTGAGTTTAAAGATTTGTAAAAAAACAAAGAAAGAAAATCTAATTATTAAACTTACAAGTTAATGTTACCAGATGCATAGAAAAATAAAAAGTGTTAAATATGCAAAATAAGATTTGAATTATGTATTTGAATTTCTGTAAATGTTGTTAATGGTAGTACTGTCTTCAGTGTATTTTATTTTGTGGTTGTGATACCTGTCATGCTTTTTAGCTACAAGGATTGAATTGAAATGGCAGAAGAGTAATACCATTTATCTGAAAAAGAAAATTAATTTCATCCAGTTAATTTAAATCTTAAAAAAAAAAAACAATTTCCAATATTTTAATATTTCAAAACCTGCCACTATTATTGTAAATATAACTTTCTTACTAATTCGTATTTTTTTTTTCTTTTAGGTTCTAGTAGTAACAAGTTTCAACATGTAGACGGAAACAGTATTTAAAATAATTTTGTTGGTTTGTAAAAAGAATGAAATTTTAGTTTTAAATAAAAGTAATTTGAATTTCAGCTGACTAATTATTTAAATTTGCAGTTTTATAGCTTTAAAAATTGAAGCACCTTAGACAACTATCTTCTAAAAATACGAGTATGAGTTCCCATAAATAATTTTTACTAACTGTAGAATTTGGATAAGTGTTATTTTAAGATGATTTAATTCAATCTATTAAAATTACAGAAGAATTATGCATTTGAAACTTTCTTTTATAGCTTAACAAAAGCAATTACTGCCGAAGGTTTAATATTAAGAACTTCAGGTTGATAAATGATCTCTACTAGTGAAAAAAATGTAACGATATACTTTATTCTTCATATAATATATATAATATCTTTATATATTATATTTTTTATATAGTGATTCTAAAAATTAATAAACTAGGTGGTCCGTATAACACCTCACCTTCGTAGGTACTAAAAAAAAATTTACGTTGGGCTACATAAGCCTGAAGTGCGAAATGTCGCATCTTTGGTTGATAAATTAATACTTCTAAAAATACAAAAATATAAGCTTGAGGTAACGAAATAATAACTTAAGGTAGAACATGTAATACATGGCGTTAATAAAAAATAACCTTTCCAAGTGCTGAAAATACACTTCAGGTTGATTTATAACAACCAGAAGTGTAAAATGACACACCTTAGGTTGAAAAATATATACCTCTACAGGTATAAAATTATATACCTGAGGTTGAAAAATAATTACCTGAGGTAGAACAAAATACACCTGAGGTTGATTTATAACAACCAGAAGTGTAAAACAACACACCCCAGGTTGATAAATATATATCTCTACAAGCATAAAATTATATACCTGAGGTTGAAAAATAATTACCTGAGGTAGAATAAAATACATCTGAGGTTGATTTATAATAACCTGAAGTGTAAAATGACACACCTTTAGGTTGTTGAATAAATACTTCCACAAGTGTGAAAAAATATACTTCAGGCTGATAAGTAATAGCCAAAGGTTGAAAATGAAACATTTTAAAGTAGTAAATATCAATCTCTCCACAGATGTAAAATTAAACACCTCAGGGTGAAACATATATACCTCTGGAGGTATATTTAAGGTATATTTGAGGTTGATTTTGAGGTATTCATTTGCACCCTTTTCAACCTTAACGACGTATTTAAATAACAACCTCCTTTATACCTATAAAATATACCTCGTTTATACCTCGATTTTTTCATAAGGGAAGGGAACTTCGGGATCAAGTATTTGTCGTCGTGGCGGACTTTTCGATCGAACTAACCCGCATTTGCGCTACATGGAGAGTAAAACCACGATAACCTCCCACAGTTATCTCAACGGCAAGAGGACTCTAACCCATTAGCCGTCTACCACTGAGGATATGAGCTCTGTGTACGTCAGCACTGTGGTTGATGCTAGCCGGGAACGGAATTCTAATCGACCAGTTATCCCTGGTATTTGGACCCGGTTCACCTCATTGGAAGGCGAAAGCTCTATCCCCTGTGCCACCACGGTTCAGAGCTACCACGACACAATTAACGTGCACCAGTCACCATTTACTGCACGTGGAGTTTTCAATCGGTGGGACTCGAACTCACGACAATGCCCTACCAACCTCGATATCCTGGCCTATACTTGGTATTGTTACCAGATCTATATTTTACAAGTCTAAAAAACGACTAGGTAAAACGATCCGCAGCAGTCATTGGATAATAGCGTTCCACAAGTGGAATATAGTGTTTAAACGTAATTAACTCAAATGAATCTGAAACAGAAAAAATATATACTTTTTCTAATTTCCAGAAGCTTCACATCTTATAGTTTACATTATTTAATGACAGCATTAATCTGGCTGAGGGTCTGCTGAGGGACTATCCTCACATACATGTGTATACATAAGTAGTTCTAAGAAGGTAAAAAAATTTAATGTACATTTTTAAATGGAAGCAGATTTGAGCCACAACGCAGAAATATTGCTCGTGAATGTAGAGAGCTTTTAAAAGCAGAAAAATTTATGGCTATAATTTGTAACGTAAAATTCATAATTATTTTGTACTAGTATTAGGGATAGAAACTGCTGTGGAAATTGTACTGTACTGCTTCCATGCATGCACACGAGAGAGCGCTGTGGTTGCCGTTTATATACTGTGATTGCGACTTTTCTTAATCACACGTCTCAATTTCCAATATAAATAAATTATTTTAGTTCGACACCTTTGATCATGGACAAATTGTAGGCGTTATACACGTAGGCCATTCAATTTTTTATTAAGTCAGTATGCTAGGATTTTCAAGGTCAACAATTTCACTCGTGAAACTGTTGACGCAGTGCGAGAAAATTATATTGCTCATCATGCCCGGGATAGGTAAATAATTAATCAGAAATACCGTAATATACCGATTAAGCACCCTATCAAATTTAGACGAAAATCGCGAAAATGTCAGATGAGAATGAATGTTAGCAAATATGAAGAAACAACATAGCTTGTTCCATCGTACTTCATAGACCTAAATGCTATGCCACTTGAAGGGTATATGCACTTTCTGATTATATATATTTTTTTATTATTAATAATGCTCTTCATTCATATCAATGCTTATTCATGCTTGATATTTAGTCTGAAAAAAAAAATAACTAATGCATCGTCGTTATTAACTCAATCGTAACTCAATGCACCTGATTTATATTTGAAATTAGTGTTGTTATAGCCATTCTTCAGATAGATTAAAAAAAAAGAAAATATCACTGATGTGATCTTCAAGATATTTGACAACTGAATCGTTTATAGCAAACTTTAAAACAATGGCCAACTTTTAACCAATCAGAAAATTTCATTTTGATTTTCGCTCATACCGCTGGAACGATTTGTCGCAGAATGTTCTAATTTCCACACTGATCTTCCTCGTGCTTTGAACTATCTGTATGCCAAGTTTCATAGCTTTTGGTCGGTTGGTTTAGGAGTCTATTAAAGGTATACGTGCACACAGACGCGCATTCATTTATATATATATAGATAGATAATAATCTACATTTCAATTACCTGTAAGGTTGTGTAAAACTTACAGATGCTGCACCATGAAAAACTACTGTGACTTCTTCGCATATTTTTCTCATGTCCTCTTCACTCATTCCTAAATTAGGTTTAGAAATGTCACCTGGGATGACATGAATCTTATCCAGTAGTTCTGGGTTGTTTTCACATATTTTACGAAAAATCTAAAATATAAACATAGCAGAAATGTTTACCCAAATTAATGAAAGTAACTAAAATTAATAGTATAATGTACTGTGCACCAAAGGAAACAACAGACTACCCGGAATAAATTTTGCTCTAATGATCAGATTTTCTCGTTCTATGGATCTTAGAAACTGCAAGGGGTGACCTCAAAAATTTTAATTAATAAGTGCAAACGATATTTTAAGTTGCGAAATCAGATACAAAAACGTACATCCTCTGAATTAAGATACTTTTTTTTTATGGATTTGGATTTCTGACCCCCAAAATCCAAGGAGTAGCCACAATCTAGGAAATATGGTCTTCATAGTTCGGTCAGGAGAGAGCTCAAAAGACATCTAAATGTTAATTTTACTCTTTGCGTATTTCTTTATATCTCGAGAACTTTTTAAGCGAATTTTAAAAAAAATTGCACATAATTATAAATTTGCTTATCCAAAAGTCATTCCATGCAAAAAATAACTTTTAGTTAATATTTATTATTTCATTTAATAATAGTCGGAAAATATTGGAATTGTAAGGTATACAATTTTTTACTTTATTTTAAAGGATGTTATTTTGCATGGTAAAATGCAAAATTTGAACGAAATCTCTCGAATAATTCCTGAGAAAATAAACTTTTAAAAAAAAGTCAGATGCTTAAAATTCCATAAGGCAGTATTTCAACCGGTTTTATTCAAATTTTGTATTTTCCTAGGTAAAATTACATATTTTAAAATTATGCAGAAAATTGTATTCCTTACAATTCAAAATTGTTCGACTATTCTTAAATAAAATAATAAAATTAATTAATATTTACGAAAAGCTACTCTTGGCATGGGGTTATCTTTGGATAAACGAATTTTATAACTGCTTGCAAAAAGCTTTCTATTCGCTTAAAAGTTCTCGAGATATAGCGAAAAAAGCAAAAAGTAAAACTTACATTAAGCGGTCCAAACTTTGTAGCTCTCTCCTGACCATATTTACCAGATTTCTGCTACCCTTTATATTTTGGGGGTCAGAAATCCAAATCCGTTGAAAAAGAAGGTATGTTTATTCAGAGAAAGGACGCTTTTAGTCTGATTTCGTAACTTATTATATCGTGTGCACTAATTAATCAGCATATTTGACGTTTCTCCCGCAAACCATTAAAATTGAGTACTAAAAAGTGAAGATCCGATAATTAAATCAAAAGTTATTCAGAGTGGTCCGTTTTTTTTCCTGCGCACTGTGCATAATGTGGGCAGTCTAAACTTTTCTGGTAAAATGAGTAAGATAGGTCTAACATTGACCCACCCCAGGGGGTATACGAAAATTAAAATTTAAATTTTTACATTAAATATTTAAACTAAAAATACAGTAAAACTTTGCCAAATGACAGTGGTGGTGATAAGTTAAAAGTGAATTAGATAAAAATTAAGGTAATGAAAAACATGATTTAAAATCAATGGAAGCTAAAAGCGTCGGTGTAAATGCTAAGAATTAAAATGATGATAATACTAAGGAAATTGAGGATGAAAATAAAATATCACTAAACTAAAAGTGAATAAAAGCTTAAAGTCCTAAGTGTAAATGACTAAAAGCAAAAGTTTGAATAAAAGTCGATGATGTCCAAAATCACATATAAATAAAAGTTCAAAATGTAGAAATGGCTATAAAAAGTATAAAAAGAAGATGTTCTATTGTTGGTTCATGACTAGAGTCAGTTGATTTGGGCTAAAATGGCCTCCAGAATTTATTTTATTACTTGAATCACAATTTTCCTGCAATGACTAAAAGTAAATGATGACTAAATGACTAAAAGTAAAAGTTTGAATAAAAGTCGATAATGTCCAAAATCACATATAAATAAAAGTTCAAAATGTAGAAAAGGCTATAAGTTGATCAGTATAAAAAGAAGATTACGTGTTCTATTGTTGGTTCATGACTAGAGTCAGTTGATTTAGGCTAAAATGGCCTCCAGAATTTATTTTATTACTTGAATCACAATTTTCCTGCAGGCCAACATTGCGAAGAATTGGTGATCCTCTTGATAGTCATTCATATGGGTACGATGAAGTGCTCGGAATCTTGGACAGTGCTTAATGAGATGTTGAATGTCATATCTCTTTCCACAGTAACTTCACGAAGCTGATTTTCTAAAGTAATTTTGTTGACAAGTCTCGAACACTCCATGGCCAGTAAGCTGCTGGTTTGAGTAAAAATTCGACTGCAGGAGATTTATGCTAGGATCTTTAAAGAATTTATAAGTTAGTCTTCCCTTGTCACTAGACCTCCTGTCATTTTTAAAGCGGTTAAAAGTGATGTTCGTGATGTAAGATTTAATTTGACATTTTTCACCCGGGGTCCCAAAGTCAATCTGGCCAAGCTTAATGTCTTCCTTAACAACCCATCAGTCAGTCTCTTCATTGCCATCAATGCCTGAGTGTGCTTTAATCCAATTTATACTATAGTTACTACTTCACATGGTTTTGGTTTTTTGTAAAAGTTTGAGGTGTCTACGTGGGTCCTCCAGGCTCATAAGTGGCGAAAGGGAATCAGTGTAAATGTTTGCTATTGGTACACCCTGATTTTTAAGCCATTGGAGCACTGACCGGATCGCAAGGAGCTCAGTCAGATATATATACCACAATTGTTATTTAGACGTGCCGAGATGGTGTTGATGGTTTTGACATTTACCTTCATTGCAACACCATATCCAGTTTTGTTAATAAGTGTACCATAGTCTTCAGTCTGAATTCTCGACCGGTCTGTGAAGATTTCAATGCCACGGTTTGTTGAGAGAAATTTCCTCCAGGGCAACGCGAGAGAGTTTGAAGGGTGAACCAACTTGGGAGGTAGTAGGAAGTGATCAGGAAAAAAAATGAGTAAGAAAATTTAACCGGGGAAAAAAATTCTGACAAGATTACCATACTTGCATGGCAAAGACATTTCTGGTAAAAGAAACCATATTTCTAGTAATTAAACCAAAATTAATGGTATTTATTTGGTAATTTTAAAGTTCGCTATAGTAACAGCTTACCAGAAATTCTGATTTTCAGAATTATAGTTCTTATTACCATTCATTTATTAACAACTACAATACTGAAAAGCAAATTTAACCAAATAAATGGTTTCTATGACATGCTCTAAAGTATCGCGATAAAAGTACCAAACTTTTCTCTAGAACTAAGATGCATTTTACCATTTATTTGAAAATTTTAACCCCTTGATGCCTATGCCTTTTTTCAAATAGAATGGTAATACCAATAGAATGGTAATACTGTTAACACTTTTAAGATGTATTTAAAATGGCAGTTTATTTAAATGATTGATAGGAGTCAGATGGCTGTTAATTATTTCTTATTCTAATATAATTTCTCAATTGTAACAAGGGTTAAAGGGTTATTAATGATGGCTTCAGATATTTAATTAAAGTACTTAAAAGATACTGAACTTAGATATATAACATTATGATAACTGTTTTATCCCTCTGGTGGGATCTCTCTCTCTCTCTCTCTCTCTCTCTCTCTCTCTCTCTCTCTCTCTCATTCTTTAAAGCGGGCTTAATATATTTGTGCTGTTTTTCTTACTTGTATGCTATCTTTTCTGCAATTTCACAAAAGACAAGCCATTCTTTGCATAAGTTCTCGATCCTGTATAGAGCCAAATTTATTTATTTACTATTAAACATCCTTGATAATGTTTTGATTCAAACCTACTATCTCCAAAGTACTTTCTACTTTGACGGAATAACGTGTATGCTATAAAAATAATTTAAAAAAAAACATTACTATTTTGAGTATTAAATTTATTCATTAAATGCTAACCAATGTTGGGCAATTCTGCCATTTACAAATGCCATATTCGAAGACTAAAAAATTTTAACAATGTTAATAAAATTCCAGCAATTCAAATAATTTTCAGGAAAATACGTCTTGATTTCAATTTTTAGGGGTTTTAGAAATTTAATTTTTTTAACATTAAAAATTAGCTATTACGGGCGTAACAAATAGTGTTACGTGAGTAACACACAGTTTCTTATTTTTTATTTAAGGAAAGTTACTAACAATTCGAGTATAAGTATATGACACCAAGATTTTTTTTACTCAACTCTTTTAGAAATTTTCGTTTTTTTTCTTCCAACTGCTGCATGCTTTTAAAGTTTGCAAAAATGACATTAATAAATGGTGGAATCACCCTGTTGTAAACGGACTACAAATTAATGTGCGGCACATCGTACTGATTCAACCGTAGATCACATTATGAAAAATGTCTAGAAAATAATTTCATAAAATAAAAGATTAGTACAAATGAATAAACGGATTTTTAATACCTATATTTTAAATCTATGACACATGTAGTAAGTGATCAATAAAATAAAAGATAAACAAACAAAAAATTTTATACCTACAAATGTTTGATATGTGACCCTTTCGGTTCCCGACAAGCAACCAATTTATTATAAAACTTATTTCATCCTTTTTGTAGTTTCACATTGCCAATGATCTCTATGCTGGCCTATCTCAAATTCATACTTCTAGTTTTTGCAGCGTTTTGGAGAGGTTGGATTATAAGCAGTGCCTCTTTAACATAATCACACAAAAAATAGCGCATGTTTCGGAAATTTTTATGGTCATGTTATCATTGATTACAGAGGTCAAAAACACTGTTTGTTACGTCAAGGCTTAGGTATAATTTTGATCTAGTTGCGCTGTCTACGTCATTTAGTTAACATCGTTTACTTTGTCATTTTTAAGTTAACTTTCAAAAAATTGGGTGGCAACAGCATTTTTATTCTTTAAGTTGTTTATTTTTAATTCTTTTTAGAATTCGTTCTTTTTTTAGCGAAATGTTTTTTAACCTAACAGAATTCTTTACCGATTGTTATCTCTATATTTCTAGAAAATAAAGTAAATATTTAAGTGTTGTGAAAAGAATCTTATTTAGTTGTACAAAGTACTTCACTGTTTTTAAATCACTGATTCCAAAACACCTCTAAAAAATTGTACAGCATCGCAAACCAGTGGCAACGTGAGACTACTAAATGTTCTGATTGAATTTGGTAACAGATTAAATGTTTGTTCCGTTACGATAGAGTAAGACTTTAACATTTATTACTAAATAAATTTTTTGTATCGTTTTTTTTTAACTTCGTGTATTACGTACTGTAATATGTGTAAAAGTTTTGAATATATAAATATTTAAAATCCAGTTATTCAATATTGAACCACTCATGCAAATGCAAATTCAAATACTACAAATGTTACTTGCCTTTTTCTTAAGAATCTGTTCCTTTCTTTCTATTGGATCGTGACCTTGTTTTGACCTTATTAGGATATAGATACGTACAATTCCTGGGAAACATGTTAGTAGAAGTTGCAATAAGTACTGAAATAAAATGAATACTTATTTTTGTCCCAATAAATATTGAAAATCTATTAATATTAGAGCAGTTCTCAATCGATGGAAGTATAATACAGATTTAAACTTTGAGCTTTGCCAAAAATTAAGTTTAAATTCATTCACAGTGAAATTCTTAGAGAAAATATTTAATTCTGTCTAAAGACAAGAATTAACATAAATTATTGTAGAGGTTTTTAATAAATATTTAGACATTTCTGATATTAAATGAGCCAATGTAAGACAAATTTTTTTCCTTTTTAGCAAATTGTGTATTAGATATTAACAAATAAAAATAAGAGTATAAGGTTTAAATAGGACATTTATTTGATAATACCTTTAGCAAATGGTAGTAAGAAAACTTGTATTTTACAATGTAATATTTAAAAAAAAAATTTTGTTATTTGGCTGCAGGTTCAAATGTAAAATGCAAAACCGCACTAATATTTTCATAGAAAATAGATTAAAATAAGTATTTAAATTAATTTATCTATCCTTAAACAATTATTCGAGTATTTAAAAGTGCTTTCTCTTAATTTTATGCGATATTTCTGCAATAAAATGAGATTTTTTGAAACTCTCAAACAGGAAAATCCAGATCATGTAACATACGCAATGCTGATAGTTTTCCCAAAAATTAATTAAGATAATCTGATAGCCTGAAAATCAATGAAAAAAGTTATTAAAGTGTTAATTTATTTTAAACAGAAAATTATATTACATAAGTGATGAATATTAAGCAGATATAACATAAATATCAAGAGAATATAAAATTACCTGTTGTAAATGCTGAAATGAGAAGAGCTGATTTCCTACTTTTATTAAGAGTTTAAATCGAAATTATGTGGTGTGTGGAGACATAATGGGATCTATGGTTCCATTTATTTTACTAAAAAGAGTATCAAATTGACTGCAAAGGACATTAAAACTTTAAATGTATTGCTATTTGTCATTATTAAATATTTTAATTTACTGTTCATCAAAAATTGAGATATTTTTATTTAATCTATTTTTATTTTATTTGATCTATTTTATGTGAATTGAACTTTGTAACAAGAAGTTTAGAGTTAACCAGCGGTGGCCAATCTTGTGACTTTCACGGATCAGCAGCAGAAAATACTTAATCGCAAGGGCCATACATAAATTTTTTTTTTGAATGAGGGGGAAGGTTTCTATTATTGACTGGAGTTAGTTTTTAAATTTCTCTTTCTAAAACAATTATTTTTATTTTATTGAACACTAGCCATCTCCGGCGCTTTTTTGAAATAAATAGAATTTCAAAAATTTCGAGATTTAAAATCATACTGTAAAAAATCAAGACAATATGTACGGTGCGCCCCCCCCCCAAAAAATGGATCACCCTAAATAACTTTTGATCCTAATGATGGGATCTTCACGTTTTAGGACTCAAATTTAATGGATCGAGGGGTGACCTCAAATATGGTAATTTATTAGTGCAGACGATATTTTAAATTGCAAAATCAGGCACAAAAAACGTACTTTCTCTGAACAAACATACCTTTCTTTTTTTTTTTTTTTTTGATGGATTCGGATTTCTGATTCCCAAAATATAGGGGGCAGCCGCAATCTGGGTATAATAGTTTTAAAAGTTTGGTCAGGAGAGCGTTCGAAAAATTGGACCCCTAAATGATATTTTTACTTTTTGCGTATTACGTTACATCTCGAGAACTTTTCAAGCGAATTGAAATTTTTTTGCGCACAATTATAAAATTCGTTTATCCAAAGATAGTTACCTGCAAATGTATATATATATATATATATATAATACAAAAATTAAATACTTTTGTATTAATAAAAGCATTAAAACTTCATTCCTTTTCATTAAATATCTTTAGTAAAGGATAAGGGTAGAAATTCTATTTTGGGACTTCAAGGCTAAAAACATGCCAATGAATAATAATTAGATTAATACTTCAAAAGAGAAGTTATTTTAAGATCTTTCACTTCCATATAAGGAAAGATTAAACGATTTGCTTTGAGTAATAAATAAATT